CAACAGATTTTGTTTTGCTGCATTACAAAAACGAACCAAGAGATCCAATTCTATTAGGCAGATCTTTCCTTGCTACTGCAAACGCTATTATCGATGTCAAGGAAGGACGAATAAATCTTAACATAGGCAACATTCCTATGAGATTTGATATGGCAAAAGTTGTCACATTGCCTTTAATAGATAAACAATTCTCTTACGTAGATGAGATTGATGAACTGACACAAGAATCTTTTGAGAAACTGTACTCGGATGATCATTTGAAAGATGTGCTTACATCCGCTCAGAACGAAGTTTTCAGCATAGATAGCAGAGATGAAGATGAATCAGAGATCAATATCGATCGATATCTTAACAGCGATATCGATCGACACCCTCCTTCTTTTAGAAATCTCACTAAGGAAAAAGCACCAAAGGTGGAGCTTAAACCATTACCCACTGGACTTAAGTATGCTTTTCTCATGGACGATTCCTACTTAGTGATAGTTAACGCAAACCTTACTGACAAGGAGCTTGCTCTATTATTGGACAAACTGCGCAAGCATAGAAAAGCAATTGGGTACTCTTTTAGATGACATTCCAGGAATATCTCCTGACCTTTGTATGCACAGAATTCACCTAGAGGATGAATCCAAGTCATCAGTAGAACATCAGAGACGATTAAACCCGAATCTCCAGGAAGTCGTCAAGAAGGAGATCATTAAATTGCTGGATGCAGGGATAATTTATCCGATTTCCGATAGCAATTGGGTAAGTCCAGTCCACGTAGTACCAAAGAAGGGAGGAATTACAGTCGTTAAAAACGAAAAAGATGAACTAATCCCGACGAGGAATGTGACCGGACACCGGATGTGTATTGATTATAGGAAGCTGAACTCCGCAATGCGGAAGGATCATTTTCCTTTACCCTTCATTGATCAAATGTTGGAAGAATTAGCTAATCACCAATATTATTGCTTTCTTGATGGATACTCTGGATTTTTCCAAATCCCGGTACATCCAGATGATCAAGAAAAGACGACGTTCACATGCCCCTATGGAACCTTTGCATACCGTAGGATGCCATTTGGTCTGTGCAACGCACCTGCCACTTTCCAACGATGTATGATGTCGATTTTCACTGATATGATCGAAAATTTCATGGAAATATTCATGGAGGATTTTTCAGTTTATGGATCGAGTTTCGAGAACTGTCTCGACAACCTATGCAAAGTTTTAGAGAGATGTGAAGAAAAGAATCTGGTTCTAAACTGGGAAAAATGTCATTTCATGGTTAATGACGGAATCGTACTCGGACACAAAGTGTCCGCAGCCAGTATTGAAGTAGACATAGAAAAAATAGAAGTAATGATGAGTCTACCGCCACCAAATAACGTAAAGGATATCAGAAGCTTTCTAGGACATGCTGGATTCTATAGGAGATTTATAGAGGATTTTAGCAAGATAGCCAGACCACTGACTATTCTCCTTTGTAAGGACATTAAATTTTATTTCACCCCAGAATGTCAGCAAGCATTTGAAAAGATCAAGAAAGCACTGATAACTGCCCCTGTCGTACAAGCACCCGACTGGAATCTTCCATTCGAGATAATGTGCGATGCAAGCGATTTCGCTGTAGGAGCAGTTTTGGGGCAACGAAAAGATAAGAAGCTGCACGCCATATACTATGCCAGTCGAACTCTGGACGATGCTCAGAAAAATTATGGAACGACCGAAAAAAAACTGCTTGCAGTAGTTTACGCTTTCGAAAAATTCTGTAACTATCTAGTAGGCTCAAAAGTCATCGTTCATACTGATCACGCAGCTATTAAGTATCTTATGCAGAAGAAAGATGCTAAACCACGACTCATCCGCTGGATACTCCTTCTCCAAGAATTCGATATGGAAATAAAAGATAAGAGGGGAGTAGACAAAGGTGTTGTAGATCATCTTTCTCGGATAAGAATAGACAAAGAAGTCCCTATTAATGATTTCATACCGACTGGAAACGTGTACTCAGCAGATTCATCATTCATCGGTCAGATACAACTCTCCAACGAATTTGCATTGACCGTTGATACTGGAAGTACCGATTCCAAAGACCTGACATCGATCGATGGACAGTCAGTTGAATCGGTCGATACAAGTGATATCACGTTGATCGATGAAGACGATGACCTTGACTTACGTAACATCACGTTTACGATCAACGTCGATGCGACCGTAAATGTAGCATGCCACACGATCGCTGATAGACATAACAGCCTCCCAAATAGCGACATTACGCACGAAACGCACGCTGTCGAAAAGCGATTCGGCGAAAGACCTTGGTACGCTGACATAGTAAACTATCTCGCCGCGGACGTCGAACCTGAAGAACTTAAACATTACGACAGAAAAAAGTTCTTCAGAGAAGTAAGGAGGTATCATTGGGACGAACCTTACCTTTACAAACGATGCGCCGATGGAATATTTCGACGATGCGTAGCTGAAACAGAGATTTCCGACATCATTTACCACTGCCATGGATCTGAATATGCTGGACATTTTGCAACCTTTAAAACGGTTTCCAAAATTCTCCAAGCTGAATTATGGTGGCCTACGATGTTTCGCGACGTTCACGCCTTTATTGCCAAATGCGACAGATGCCAACGTCTAGGAAAGATCAGCAAAAGACATGAAATGGAACAAAAATTTATCCTTGAAGTAGAAGTTTTTGACTGCTGGGGAATAGACATCCTCGGTCCTTTCCCTACTTCTTACGGGAACCGTTACATTCTTGTCGCTGTCGACTACGTTTCAAAATGGGTTGAGGCAATCGCCTCACCCACCAACGATGCCTCTGTTGTTGTCAAACTTTTCAAGAGCATCATTTTCCGCAGATTTGGAGTCCCTCGGGTAGTTATAAGCGATGGTGGAACTCATTTCATCAACAAAATCTTTGAGAATTTACTCAAAAAGAACGGAGTTCACCATAGAGTTGCAACACCTTACCATCCGCAAACAAGTGGGAAAGTCAAAGTTTCTAACAGACAGATTAGAACAATTTTAGAAAAGACTGTAGGAGCCACCAGAAAGGATTGGTCTAGGAAATTGGATATAATGCACTCTGGGCTTATCGAACAGCTTTTAAAACACGGCTAGGAACTACTCCATTTCACTTACTCTACGGTAAATCCTGCCACTTACCAGTTGAGTTAGAACATAAAGCAGCCTGGGCTACCAAACTACTGAATTTTGACATAAAGACGGCTGCGGAACGGAGACTCATCCAGCTAAATGAACTGGATGAAATAAGGCATCTTGCCTATGAGAACTCCAAGTTATATAAAGAGAGAACCAAAGCTTATCATGACAAACACATTATTTTGCGGCACTTCACCCCGAATGATCAATTCCTCTTATATAACTCTCGCTTGACTACATTTCTTGGGAAACTCTGATCTCGTTGGTCCAGCCCTTTTACTATCATAGCGGCCACTCAAATGGAACTGTTACCCTTGTGAATGAGAAAGGAGTAGAATTCACGGTAAATGGTCAACGAGTCAAACATTATTGGGTCAAGCCTCCAAATTATAAACCCCTCCGGTTAAGTATGCATAATCCCGCCGATGAAACCGGATCGGTAAATCATACTCAATAATTTTCAAAATAACGCTGAGTGAGAGACAGCCCACTATTTAAAATTTAATTTCCATACTTTTAGAATTCAAATTTTTAATTTTAGTTATTAGCTATTTTTAATATTCAGCAAAACTAGCAAACATAGTAGTCAAATTCGAACATATCGATCGATATGAAACATTACCATATCGATTGATACGGAAAAATCGAGGGTGAACTGCCTTAAGTCGATACGAGCCGTTTTCTCCTCCACTTTCGCAAAACACAACCGAAACTTCAAAACCTCTCTTTCTCTCTCGATTCTTCACGGAATTCTCCCATTTTTTTTGCCTCATTCGATTCCAAATCATCCCTCTATCTCGATTTCACTCTCAATTCCGAAATCCTTTAAGGTATAACCCTTGGATTTTTTGATTTTTAAAAGAGAACAAGTTTCACCCAAATCTTGCTTAGAAATCGGTAGTTAGGTTTGTTTTGAATCATTTTGAGTTGTTAGGATTGTTAGATTAGAGGTTTTTGAGTAGTAGAACTAGGATTTACACTATAAACTTGCGATTTGGATTGTTGAGATTCTTGCAGGTTTCGCGACCCGATATCGATCCACATCGAGCTTACTCTGTCGATCGATATGTACATCTTAGCCGGATATTGAAGAACATGAATCGACCATCATCGATCGATATCAGTCGACTCTCATCGGTCAATATCGATGAACTGAACGAATTGCTGACTCTCGTTTTCTTTCTCCTTTCTGCAGATGTCGACTCTATGACAGACTGCTAAAACTTACCCTGTTTTAAATAAATTTTTGCAGTGGACATGTTGTGAAGCTGTACCTTTGGGTCTAGGCCGCAAATGACATTTACAAGAAATTCACATCCGGTGCGACACTCCCACCGTTCTTTTGGTCACAACTGTGTACCCTTAATATCTAGCAGGTAATCAATTTTTCCTTTAGGATAACCAACACACTGCTGATTCTAATGTTTAACGTTTTCTCATGTTTCGCCACATCAAGTAAAACTTGAAATAAACTGTGTCAACGTTCTCAGTTTTATGATTTCTCCTTTGTAGATTAGATTTTCATTACTCAAAGCTCAACAAGTTCATGTCAATATTTAATGTTAATTTTGTTCTCTTCTCACGGCCTCTGTATCAATACTTAATTGTTTCCAAAAACCCTTAAGTTGCTTTTGTTGCTCATATCACATTAAGTTCAGGCTGGTGTCTAACATACATTTACGTCTCGGTTCACCTAATATGTGTTCATTTTGACTTTAGAATTTTTGGCCATTCATGAATCAGTGGCACTAACATGTGTTTTGAATGCGTCAACCAAAAACAGGGAATTTGGTTATCAGTTTGATGTCATTCTTATGTGTCTTTATAGACAAAGATGTTCAGTCCACGATTGATTTCTTCAACTGGTTAGTAATTGTAGAGACAACAGTGATGACTTTGTCAATTCTAAGTAATGTTCTATTCAGACTCTGTTGAGTGAATCTGACAAATCATTTGTTTTGTAAATGGTCTCAGCTTGTGTTTTTTTTTTACCTAGCAGCTAAATTAATCACTCTTTAAACACAATCAGTTACCTGAGCAGGATATGCGCCGTAAGCAGCAGCTTGTGGCACGGGTGGTTGTGCTTGTGTAGCAGCATAGCCACCATATGCACCATACATAGCCTAACGTGACTAATGGAAAATGGGAATAAGAGTAATCACTAAACAATGAAGTAAATGAGCTGGTTTCAGTTAAGCCCTGTTCGTTACGGAAACGTGGCGATAGTCACGAGCGACACAATTTCTAAAGGGAAAGAGGGAAGAAACTTGAACGGAAACATTGTTTTTAAATGCAGAGGAGAGAAATGAAAGTAAACAGCCGATGTTATTTTTGGCGTCACGGGAATTCGCCGAATCCGTGTAGTAAACAGCCGCTGCGTTTCTCCATCTCCCCCCCCCAAATCAACCATTAAAGATAAAAACAATGAAGAAATTTCAGTCGCTGTCGCAACCGCCGCGATAATGAAACGAACAAGGCTTTACCTGCTGCTGGCATAGGCAGGGTTCCACTGCTGTGGTTGTGCAGGATCCGCTTGTGCTTGTGGCCAAGCTTGAGGCTGTGCAGCATAACCACCGGACCATTGAGTTGGTGCATTTGGATATGCATTGGACACTGGCTGGGCAGGCACAGTGTCATTATAAGTTTTGGCCAGTTTCATTTTATCTGATGAGAGAAACTCATCTGCGCTACACTTTTTCAACTCTGACTTTCTCCGGTGAGGTAAAAAGAGCTTACAATGCCAATCTTCTACTTTTTTATGGTCTCAACATCTCCAAAAAGACCCAGGAACTGCAAAAGCCATAAACATATTTGATACGAAAACACAATAATATAGATAGTTAGAAGACATAAGTTTAGAAGAACAGATTGGTCTCTTTTTGCTCTGTTACCTCTATATATATCAATGATACCTCTTCTCTCTCAGTTGAACTTGCAGTGTTCTGGGTGTCTACATTTGGTTTTATCAATTTTTCAACAAGTGGGTCAAGGTATTCAATCTTTCTTGGTGGTGGCAGAATGGTCTCGCAAAAAATCAGTGCTTCCATGAAATGTTTTGACGGCTGCATGTGGTCAAGTGCTTCAACCATAATCTTCCTAACCTTCTCAGCGTCACGTAAAACCTGAAAGTATTATTGAAAAAAGAAAGAATTCAATCCCCATTAAATTTCAACATAGCTTAACAAAAGGAGGTAAGAAACTGGTTTCGTTAGTAGACATACCAAGTATGAAAACCTTGAATACTGTGCATACAGCAGCGGCAGTAATATGGAGTTCTCTTTGCCCTTTTCAACAGTAATGACTTGCTCACACGCAGAGAAATACATCAAACAGGAATATGTCAAGGTAAAATAAAAGGTTAAGATAACTCTGTAAACAAAAAAAAAACAATTATGTGTAGATCAATAGCTTTTAACCTCTTGCAGGAAGTTTCTTTCGACTGCATAGCGAGAATTGATAATGTTGAGCGTGACAGTGCATGGTATTATATTGCCTGCAATGGTTGTCAAAGTAAGGTCACCAAAGGCCCTCTTCGTCAATGTGCGCCAAGTGTGGCAACACTAACGTTGCTGGTGTAGCAAGGTCTGAACTCTAACCTCACAAATTTATGTTTAATTTTTCTAGAGTTTGATTTTTTTTTCTAGGATCGTTCAGTGATCTCTATCTATGAAAATAATGATCAGGCTATTTTTGTTCTCCTTGGTGACGCAGGACGTGAGTTGACAAGGAAGAATGCTGCAGAATTGGTTGACAACTACTTTGAGGTAACTAGCCATCAACTTAGAACCCTCTCCCAGGTCATTAGAACTCATTTTCTTCCTCTTTGAATTTTTTAGGCTAATCAAGAACTTGGTGTTGGCCATGAGATGCCTCCCCCCCCCCACCCCCACCAAGCTTTGATCGACAACATTGGGCAAACACATAAGTTCATGAAAGTGTCTGACCTCAACTTAACAGGAAAGACTCGGACTATAACTGTTACTAAATTTGTCTCAACAAAAGTTCATCCACCTGTACCAACTCCAACTAAAATCCCACTTGATGTGGATGATGAAGTGGCCGTGCCTTCTGCAAGTTTCGTTGCTGGCTCTGGATTCAATGCTGATAAGGGAAATGAAAGCACCAGTAATAGGGATGAATCACAAAAGGCTAAGTGTCCTAAACATTGAAACTAGAGGTTAAACAACTCATTCCATACGATGCAGTGTTACCGTTTTCTCTTTCTCCAATTTTCAGTCAAGACTACGCTTTTCGCTTAATTATAAACTTCTGATCTTACTTTGGTTTAATATTTTCAGCTTTGGTTTAAAATTTCTAAACAATATGCTTATATATTTAGTCTTTGATTTCATCGAAATAGAAAATGATTTCTCAGGAGAAACTTTGAAATTTTATTAATCTATAAAAATCAACCAATTCAGTAAAACCTCTATAATTAATAATATTGAAACTTTGAAATTTTATTAATCTATAAAAATATTAATTTCTATAAATTTTTTTTAGATTTTTTCATTTTAAAATTTTTTTTTTGGGCAACAAGATATATATATATATATTCTAAAATAAGAAAAATATTTGACCAAAAGATAAGAAAAATATTTGATTTTAATGTATAGACATTGATTTTTATTTCTTTTGAAATTTCACATTTATATCAATTATATTACATCATTTGGTGTATATAATATATATTACATAGAAATTAAATGTGATTTTAGAGACATATTACTAAATCTCATAAAAATCTATTAAGTATTAAGAAAATATAAAGATAATTCCATTGTGAATATTAAAAAATAGTATAATGCTAGGTTCTTACTTATATAAAATATGTATACACAGAAACTATTAATTTATAATTTTAATGGGACCATATATTTATATAGAATTTTCTAAAAAATATTATTTTATTATTTTATCCATTTGTGTCAAATTTTGAACCGGTTCAAGTTGGGAGCGATGAAATTTATTAATTTATCAAGTATTAATTTATAGATATTCTACCGTACATCTTAAGAACATTACTTAAAAAAAAAACAAAATTTACGACATTAAATATCCTTCTTCCACCCTCCTATTATAGAAATCAATCAATTCTTAGAAAAAAACACAATGCAGAAAAATAAAAGTTATTTTTCCTTTCACATGTTCCAAATCCCTCTTAAGAACATCATTGGAACCGTCTTATAAGATCTGAACCATTGGAACCATCTTATAAGATCTGAGCCATTGGAACCATCTTCTAAGATCTGAGCCATTGGAGCCCTGTGACTGCATGGCAATACTCTAAAAGACTACATAAGTGGATGAATTTTAAAATTACACAGCTATTTACCTAACTTAATACACAACTCAATCCGAAGAATAGCCATCTCGAACGGAATGGAGAACTCACCTCCCTCCCACCCTCAGGGATACTGCAGGTAAAACAAACCCATATTTCAATGCTTCACAGAAGTTATTAGTAGAACTTAATTCTGTAATTTTAGCCGAACTTATCTTCTCTACATGGACCTCCATGTATATCTTACCGATGTGCCTAAATTTTTTATGTCTTAAACCATTCTAGATAGACTTCTCTTCGAACCTAATGCCCAACCACTCGAGAGACGTCCAAGTTATCCTCATGTTCATGTTATTCATTCTATATCGCATTTTGATTTCTTTAATAGCCGAAGCAACAGAAAACATAATTAAATTTCTCTCATGGCTGATTTAGTATAAATGTTAAATTATTTGTAATTATCTTTGTTTGTTACTCGAAGTTTGGAAAATACATATATGTCGCCTGAGTCCTTTGCTAATGAGTATTTTTTTTATAAAATTTGGTCTGTTTAAAGGATGTTTAGTTTTACTTTGGCAAAAAGATGAGCATCATCAAACACTTCAAAGGGAGGATAAGATTCCAGTCCAATGCATGAGTTTGAGGAAAAATTATCAACAACAAATAAGATCATCATCAACAAACCACAACTAAGAAAACATCCCATCATCTTCGTACCTATCTATGTATTCCGAAGTTAATCTTGCTATTTTGCCAAACTAATAAAACAAAAATATTACAAAGCAATATAACTAGAAAAAACTACATACAACATAAACCAATGCATATATCTCTACTTATACTAAATCCTACACTTCTAATACTTTTAAATCATGTTTATTCTTTAATATTTTTAATTCACACAATAAAATCAAAATAACATGTCACACACAATTTTCCGCGCACCCGTCAAAGAATCTAGTGAACATAAAATGAAAAGACATAAGAAGCACATATGTTTAGATAAGCTGAAAAAGGGACATCGCACTGAAGACAAAGCTCTCGTTTCTTCCGTAGGTTGATTAACCACCATCAACATGTTGCCATCGATATACTCCATCACTGACGTCAAACTTCAGCACCATGTTTAAACCTCCAAAACATACTAATCCATCTTCTTTCCATGACTTCTCTCACTTTATCCTCTGTGAAATCGCGCCATTAAAATGACTGGAGTTTCATCTAACCATCGAAAATTAAATATCGATAAACTTATAATGATTCTCAGTATATCCTGAACACTGAACTTTCTCACTTGCATTTTTGAATGATGTTTCCAATCCTAAAACCCAATACTTTTTCATGTAAATATGAACTCCAACCGTCCATTTTAAATAATGTCAACCACATCATCCATGCAAAAAACTTTCCAAGGCTCGACTAACAATAAAAAAGATACCTCTTTCATATCTTCTGAATCTTCTCCTGACACATATCTAAAAAGTATATGTACCAAATCCAGATACCCTATGAAGATACAGCGTTATCAATCATTTCTTTTTTGACAAAGGGCTTAAAGCTTTATCAATCGTTGAAATGAAGTTTAACGTAATTTTGCATATCCCTTCTAAACAATGATGCAAATACATTTGAAAACATATCGAGTACCTAATTACCACTATAGTTTTATATATTAACCTAAATACAGTAAAAATTTATAAATTAATAATGTAGAAACTATGAAATTTATGAATTTATATAGTTATTAATTTACAAAAAAAACTTAAAGATTTTTTTTCTATTTTAAGATATATATTTTCTAAAATAAGAAAAACATTTGTTTTTTATTTTATAAACATTAACAAAATTTTTGTATTTCGACATTTATAATGGTTTATTATATTATCTATTGTAATACAAAATATGTTTCATAGAAGTAAAATGTGAGTTTAGATATAATTTAACTAATTTACACCAGAGCATATTAAGTTTTAAGAAAATATAAAGATAATTCCATTATGAATATAAAACAAATATTATAGTAGTTAGTTTGTATTTATATTAAATGTATATATATATATACTTATTAATTATAAATTTATAATTTTAGTGAGACCATATATTTACATATTTTTTTTTTTAAGTTATTATCTTATCATGAACCGCTTTAACTTGGGATTGGAAAATTTTATTAATATATGATGTTTATTAATTTATGATATTTATTAATTTATATAAATTATACCGTAGTCATTATTTTAATGCTATCAAGGTTATAAAATTTTTAAAATACAGTTTATATTTATTATATGTGTTTTTCGCTCAATTGAAAAAAACTACGATATATAGCAACATGCTTCCCTCTTTTCTCCCTTTGGATCTTCAGAGAGAGAAGCCGTTTTTTCCGTGATGATATGTTATTCTTTTGTAAAAAAATTAAAAATACAATTTGTATTTACTTTATGTGATTTTTTGCTCAATTGAAAAACTATGATATATAGTAACATGCTTCTCTCTTTTCTCTCTTTTCTCTCTTTGGATCTCGAGAGAGAAATAAGTTTTTTTTTTGGTGATGATCTATGTTCTTCTTTTGTTAATATTAAAAGCTTACGAATAGGGAAGCTTACAAAGACCTTCAGACTCAGGTGAAGATTAGTTACGGTAATCTATGTGCTAAACAAAATAATTCGATGTAACATCCTCACACAACAACTTTTGAGAAAGCTTCAGATGCTTGAGAGTAGGGCTGGGTAAAAACCCAGGATCCGAAGAACCGAACCAAATTCGATCCGAAAAAGTAGTATAGAACTCGAACCGAAATTGATTCAATATATGAATGGATTCAAAATTTTGGTATTTAAAGAACCGAACCCGAACTGAAGTATTTCGGGTACCCGAATATATCTGAAAGAGATTTATATACCTATATATATTAATTATTTTTAGATTTAATGTATATAAAAAACATTCAATATATATAAAATACTTTGAAGTTGTTCAAAATACTTGTAAATATATGTAAATAGTCAAACATACATGTCTAAAATTGCTAAAGTACACTCAAAACATCAAAAATACTTAAGACAATTATTGATTCACAATCCAAATATTCAATTCAAACGAATTTATATGTTAATTTTAGGTATTTTGACTTATGTTATTCAATTATTTGTAATATATTATTTTTATATATTTTTAGAAATTTAAAGTTTATAAACAATTTTAAAATTTTAAAAAGAATTTAAATGATTATCCGAACCCAAACCAAACCCGCAAAAATCTGAACCGAACCCAAACCAAAATTTAGTAATATCCGAATGGGGCTAAAATTTGTGAATCCGAAAACCCGAAACCCGAATAGATCCGAACCGAACCCGAATGGGTACCCAAATGTCCACCCCTACTTGAGAGCACTGGCATCTGACTGAAGAATTGAAGAAAAATATTCTATCAGAAATCTCTAGTCCAATGGCTGGATCTTGGTGATCAGAATATGAATTTCTACCACAAGACTTGCCAAAGAAGAAATTCCAGGATTGCAATAAGAAGACCCGTTACCCCTGATGGTAGATTCTCACAGAGTAGGTAGATGTCACATGCAGGTTGCCGTTCACTGCGGCTTTGATCGCCAATTTTAGAGGAGGTTTTGGACTATCGCTGTTTGGGTGATGCTGCTGCATCACTGGTAGCTCCAGTACAGGGTGAGGAAGTGAGAGAAGATTTCTTTTCTATGCCAGCAAACAAGTCTCCAGGGCTGGATGCATGGATTTTCTATGGAGTTATATAAAGAAGTTTGGATTGTAGTAGGTAAGGATCTTATTACTGTTGTATAATCCTATTAACTGTTTGGATTGTTGTCTCGGAGTATAAATGCCATGTTACTGTCTCGGGTACTAAAGACAACAA